CAAAAAAAAATGTTATTATGCATCGAGTTCTCTAATATTTTTTCAGATATATAAGCAAAGTAGGTAAAAACTGTTTCCCCTAATGAAACTAAACAGAATTAAAAATACGCAAACATAGGTTTACATAACAATTAATTTCGGTGTTAAATTTAGACAGAAAGAGATAGAAATGTAATTTGCTAAAAAAGAATATTGAAGGAATTTTAAATCAGGGGAATTTCAACACCTGCCACTCAGACATCTTGATGTAGATCCAAAAAATAAGTAATTCCAGAGATGTTTGGGTTGTTTTGATTAGACAAAAAGAAGCCGTTTGGCACTATTTTCGAGGTCTAGGTCACTGGACCATACCAGAGACCATAAGAGCCAACATGGAGAAATTATCTTTTAAATGCAAAGTAAAACGATGTAGCAATGAAACATGCTTGAAATGTTCTAGATGTGGTTGTGAACGTGATAATTTAAGTGTAGCGATGAAGCTAAACTGTCGGTCCAGGTCGGATGAGGGAAGAACTTATTCGAATATATCCCAATCGCTTTGACATACCAGTTGATTACTAACTACAGAATAGTATCTTTAACTTCAAAAATGGGGATTGGAATCATATATATAAGAAATATTTAGTTTCAATAGTTTGTGAAACTAACAGTACAGTAAACCCCAAAGTAACTGTGTTGAAGTTGAAGCCCATGCACGATGCATTACAAGATGATTTCCCTAACGATTCTCAAATTACAAATACCATTTCTGCAACGAAGAGTAAATACAAGAACGATGGTATAATGCCTAGTATGGTACCACCATAGCATAATCCATATAGATTTCATCATGTTATATTTTCATTAATATTTAGTTGTTGTTTTTTTTTCGTTTTATTAGTAGTGCCAGGCTTCATTCATCGAAATAACCCTAAATCACTGGTTTCCTGAAATAACCGCACTGTTCACCATCTTAGGCTCAATACTAAAATATGTTGGGCTGGCTCGTGTGGCAGGTGTTAAAAGAAAAATGTTAAAATGTGCGACAAAGTACACATTGGGCTACAAAACCTGAAGCTTTATACCACTTCCTGGTGGTTTTGTCCTTGGTACACTTCTGTAGGCGTCTGTGCCTATCTTCACACACACACACACTGACACCACTTTGTTACAATTGTGCAATACTTGCATTTCATCTTTCCTTCAACTTTATTGAGGTTGTACTTATCCTATCAGGAAATGATTCATACTAACATACACAAGTAATACAAATTTTGCAAAAGTTAACTACGATGTATGGATGGCAATGCCAAAAAGTACAGGAACAAGGTAGGATGAATAAACAAAACCATACAAAAATCACTATATAAGTAGCCAAATCGTTCCAAGAATAACTTTTATCTACAACTAAACGTTCAATTCCTGTTAGATTGTTCTTTATTCAAAACTGAATAGTGCTATTCAGTATTACAGTGGTTAATAATCATAAGCTTGTAAAATTGACTCAGTACGTACTGGCTTCTTATGTAGGGATTTTTGTATGGTTTTATGTGTTCATCCCTACATTATACTTTATTTTTCGCAAATTTGTTTTTTAAATTTCATTGAAGTAGGTTGATATGTGAACCTTTGTTATATTTTCATAATTCAATGGTAATATACATTTCATATCAGTTTGTTAGTTTCTCTAATTTTGTATTACATTGGTGCTCAGTGAAGTTGTAATGGTTCCTCTAGGACGGTACAAGTATCCCAGAGTGTTGGACCAACATTAAGGTGATATTTACAGAAACCAAGCCTTCCAACTTCGCCCCAACTCATTGCATGTGCATAAAATCGACTCTATCACATATTAGGGAAATGTCAATCAATATGGAGGACATCACACAGATCCCAGGCCATGAAGTACGATACCACACATGCAAACTCAGCTACCAGGATCTGCATAACTGAAAATTTAAAGAAAATTAGACAGCTACATAATATATTGTTTTGATAATTAAGAAACTGGTGCTTTTAAATTCAGACATCAATAACATGGATACAGATCTGTAAGTTGCATAAGTACTTGGTCTTCTTGATACCTTGAATATTAATTTAGATTATTCTTTATTTCTTTTTACTGAAATTGTTTTGCAGATACCATGTTCGTGCAATGAAAAATCACAAACGGTTGTTGTATAAAAACAAGTTGAGCTGCCACCTAGCGAGCAGAAATGAAACTGTTAATTATGAAACATGGAAATGCTATATGCTTATAAACTGAAATCACTGCTAAGTAGTACTTTCCTTTTTATTATTTCCCCACAAATATACGTGTAGTAGAAGAACAGAATAATATTAGTGTTATACAAGCTGTGAAACACACGATAATGCAATTAGGTGCTCAAATAAACTATAACTCAGCTTTAGCAGTTATTTGTAAGCATCATAGGTTGAATGCTGTGGTTATTTTTTCTTGGCCCATCCCTACATACTAAGCAATACCACGCCTAGTGATAACAAATTGCTGTTTATTACTATAATCAACAATACAAAGATTTAGAACTAGGTTTGGTTTCTTACTGGCAGAATATTACTTCTTCCTTCACCTCTCTCGATTTATTTGCTCTATTTCACATCTCCCAGTCTTCTCTTTTTTCGTCCATCTTTTATATATCTTTATAAGAACCCATGCTGGACAAAACTCTTTCTTTCTGACCTTATACACCTGTTTGCATTATAGGGTTTCATAGTCATAGAAAGTCCTATTGTTTCCATACTAGAGAAGAAGAAAGACAACTACTATACTAATCGTTTTCTAATGATTTAGTGTTGTAATAACATAGGGACTGACCAAAAGCTGGCTATTTTCTCATGTCTCTCAACTTCAACCAATGTTCCTTACACCTAACTTTATAATAATGGCAAGTGCCATTCTGTAATTATTAATTGTTTCCCTGATATGATCCTTAAATTGGCATGTACAGTTGGATGTGAGGTTTAAAACATACAATTGATGTCTCCCACAGAGCAAAAATCCTAGCATTGTTTGATCTGAAAAGCGTGGTTTGGCATAACTCCAACCCTTTGGTTCAGTAGAACATTTCCAGTGCTTTACAAACACAAAATATCCTGTCTTACTGGAAGAAAAGTACCAATAATACCATCAGTTTCCAAATAAGGAAAACAATTCTAAATGATGTACAATAATTGTTTTCTTCTCTTGGAAAATATAAAGGACCACAGATATATAGTCATGGCTTTTGGTGAGTCTTGCACATATTCCTAAGTGTGTGTAGGTTTCCCCTCCCTCAAAAATCAACAGTTATGTCTGTTTATTATTCCACACAAAGGGATTAACTGCATTATCTGCCCAAAGACTAACTTATTTCCATGATCCATAGGGTTGAACAACATGATATTCATTATGAGTCTAGCCTCGCAGTCCTCTTCAAGCAACTGTTGCATTGTTTAAATTCTGTATGCCTGAAAGTTCAAGTGTGATCTTTAAATTTAAACAATATGGCCCTTGGCAAGCCATGATCAACAAAAGCCCCTTTTTTTTACTTTCCCAAACTATGTCAAAATACTTCAGTTAAAGGTAGCAGTGTCTTAATTCACTATAGGTCACACATTGTTCATCTTGGGACAAAGCTCCTGTATTCTTGAACTGCTTGCACCATCACTTAATTGTATTGTTCGAGTGTGCTTACTTATGATAAAACTGACCAAATTGGCATTGCACAAGAACACAAACTTGAAATTCACATACCGTAAACTGCTCTTGTTTGCTGAATAGTCTCTAATTAGAAAGTAACTGGCAATAAAAACTTTATTCATAGTTTAGGGCAAAATTAACAAAGTGAAAAACTTGAGTGTTTTTTATGCCAACACATGTTTTACCATGTCTTTATCCAGGGCCATATTTCCTATTAGAGGAACTAGGCAGCTGTCAAGTGCCCCGTGCATGTGAAGGCTCGTTAGGCAATTTGTTTTTTACAAATGGATAACTTTGATGGGAAAATTAGGCTCACCCACCCTCAAAATAAATCTGGCTACTTTCTCAAATTGACTTCTTTTAAATCAGTAACTGTACCTTACTTTCATAGAATGGTTCATAGAATTTTATAAAAAATAAACCTTTTAAATGACAAAAATATTTTAAAACTGTGAAATATTGTATATTTTAAACCTAAAAACAAAACAGTAAAAATTAAAAAAATTGATTGAAGAAAAGAAATTTTCAAAACATAATTACTTCTTTGTCAAGTAGCTATCAAAAAGTTAGTGTGTATATATATATATACACACACATGAAATGCACCTTTAATTTTTCAAAAGAAACAACATGCACAGTTCTATTGCCTTTTTTCTGTACAAATGTAATGTTTTTTTTATGCACAACTCATGATTTATTTACAAGGACATTAACATACTGAATTCATGTAGCAAGAAAGAGGGGAATAGGTTTATGCAATGAAAACTAAAAGTCATTTTAATGGTTTAATATTTTCAGTAAGATACTGGTATAACAATTATCATTGAAAAAGATTAATATGACTTTTGAATGTATTATATTTTGAAAGAGGTCTTATTAAAATTATAGATTTTTAAAAAAGAGTTTCCATTTAGAGTGAATATACAGTTTTAGAAGTATATTTTGATATTAAAAAAAAAGAGTAAAGTTTTTAGATATAGTCTCATGAGTGTATGGAATAACTATTGGATAAAGCATTCAACCGCTTCTCTGTATATATTCTGAAACAGTGGTAAAATAAAATGAGTCTGTTCTAGTCTGAGTATACTATGTTTTTAGTAATTAGAGATATTACAAATAAGGTAGGTAATGGTGTATTTTCTAATCACATTTCTCAAGTGTTTTTAATTAAAGGATTAGAGCAGCTTGGTTTTCATTGTTGTGTAACATGTATCATTAGCATTAAGCAGTTCCTGTGAATTAAGTTTTACTTAATCGTTAACCAGTTGTTGTTTATGTATGGTTATATAAAAGAATGTACAGCTTCTTAGCATACACAACCAAGCACATGCTATTTATAATATCTGATCAAGATTGTCAGTAATCATATCAGACCACAAATTATCACTACTTAAATGTATAATGGTCATCTTCTAGTTACTTCCCAGTATAGACTGACCAAGTTCAGTAACATCCCTCATTATTAACAGACCAACTGTGAGGATAATGCCATGTTTGTAGTGAGATCAGCAAAAATAGTTTACCCTGTCTTCCTTGTACTGAACCAACATATTCATCATGATGTACAAAGATCAGAAAAGATAGATACCTCAGTAATCAACAGCTCATGTTATGAGGCCTACTACATCCATAGTCCTGTATATAGTTCAGTACTTAAAAGCCCCTTGCTGAGCAGCTTTGAAGATAAACTTTTTAACTGTCAACTCATCAAACTTATCAAAAGCATCTGTCTGGGCTACAGCTGTTAGGTGGTTTACAGCAAAACGGAAACAAAAATCTTCCAGATCCTTAATGAAAAAAAAAAGTCAATGACAGGCAGATTAGAGCTTTACAGAAAATAACAGCAATAAATATACATTGATTTAACTTTTACAAAGCTCTCACCTATATAAAAAACTATTTAAAGCCAATATAGCTCATGAAAATCTATTAACCTATATTTGAAAATAAATCTCACATACAACTGAAGTTATAAAATTGAAGGGTCTGAAAATATATATTAAATCTAGAAACAAACATATTTTGCTTCTAAATGCTTTCATAACACAAGCTCAATAAGTCATTAACTATGTTAGTAGTAGCACAAAATCAAACTACAATATCTCTCAAAGAACTTTTAGCCTAAGTTATGAAAAATTTAACCCATTTATTACAGTTGTCATGCAATTATTTCCAAATATTTAAATATAGTTAATACTAGATAGTTAAAATAAAAGCTAAATAACAAATTTAATTCAAAAAATGAACTTCTAAAGTTTCATTAATTTGATGAGCTGAGATCACAAACCTAATATATGGGAAAACAGGTAAGTTTACTCTACAGTCTACAAACTGGTCAGGATTCATCTGTACATCTTTAATAATTAATTGTTGATGAACATCCAATAGTATATTTAAACTTTTTTTTTGTAAAATTCATCCAAAACCTGAGGTCAAATTTAGTGGTTTCTAAAGCAATACATATTAGTTCCTTGAGTTGCAAAAGATCTGTATTCAAACAAATAATTAAATGGTAGTTTAAAAAAACAATTTTTAGTATGACACTTATGAACATTGAAGAACTCTTAAAATAACAATGACTTAATTTGAAACATGTAAGATATGAATAAAAAAAATTAAACTTCATTCACAGCAAACCTTCTACAGCTCTCTCAGTAGTTTTTTAATCATGTATGACACTAAGAAACAAATTGTTTTTCAGCACAAACAGCAAATGTTTTAAAATACACAGCAATGCATTAAACATTTGCACAGAATTACAACAAGCAACCTTTTTGTAAGCAAATTAATCATAAGTTTATGAAATACTTAGCAATGCTAGTTGTGTTTAAATGTTTATTTTCTGAATTTACTTCTTACCTACGAACATCAGACAATCAAAATTAGTTTCAATCTAACAGCATGTAAAGCTTGCTTACTCACCAAAAAATAAATTTCTTGTATTCAACATTCTTACTTTAGTTATAATTCAAACTTGGCAAAATATAGCACAAACATGTCTCAGAATGTGCATCATATTTCTTACCTTTGCTTCATATTTGATTGCAGCCACATACAACATAGCTACATTATCTACATGGATGTTATGTTTGATGATTTGCTCACAGTATCGTTTTAACTGTAATTCATGGTATGAGTTAGCTAGGTCCAGTAAACCTGGAAGAGAAAACAGTAAAGCACTATCTTACATGAGACCCTTGTTTTCTTTTTTTATTGTATGACCTTATAATATCTATGGTTTCTAGGAAGGATGGTAATTTTTAATCATAAGTAAAAAACAAATCTCTAGGTTTATTGTACTTTTCTATAACACAAAAAAAATTAATAAAATCCAGTAACTTCAACATATTCAAAAAACATAAGTGCAAGTTTACTGTATAAGCAATACATTTTTATCACTAAAATATGGTCAGTAAATCTGAGGACCTAATATGTTACAGATACAAATTTGAACTAAAGTACGTATAGCCTCAACCTTAACAAAACTTAAAAGAATTTAGAATATGATTATCCAATAAAAAGAACAATTATAAAAGGGATTTCATATATATTTTGTTAAAAGACACATTATCACTACATATAACTTTTTGTCATTTACATAAGAAATTTGCTAACAACAGTTTTACTATTAGCAAATATATATATTTATATGTATAACTTATTAACATATGCTTACTCATCTCTAAATTCTTTAAGATTAGCTGATGTAACCTACCAATGGCATCTTCTGGGGGTAAATCCACTTTATCAGTATAAAGATAACCTAGAAAAGCTCGATACACAGGATAAGAAAACTGTGTAATCTCAATAGTTCTGTAATGAAAATAATATTACTTCAGTGATAAAAAGTTGATTTATTAAATTCATATACCACTGAGGAACTTATAACATTTAAAAGTCTATAAAATATGAACCTCAACTTTGAGCAACTAATAAAATTTTCTCAAACACAACCAACCAACTTATAAAGAATGTCTAATTATTGAATGTGTCCACTACAATCCTTCTATACATGCAGGAGAATTAAATATTACTAACTGTAATGTTTAAAGCTACCATTGTCACTGGAAGAATTTGAAAATTTCCCACCACTCCTAATTTTACAGCAATATGTAAGCTTTTCCCTACAAATTCAACATTTTATAAACATTTCAATAAGCCTTTATCAAACTTTAAGCTTTGAACTTCCAACAGATCAGTCTGTAAATTGTTTGCAACAACTACAAGTCTTCTATTAGTATTTGAGTAACTTGTAAATTTTTGACTACAATTACAACAATCTTCGAGTCTATCATAATCATCAGGCCAATATGCCTACTAAACCTACAGCAATTTGCAAATATTTTACTACAGCTACAGGTTTTCAAGTCTTACAACACCATTACTGAAAACTGTACATCATGCTCAATCTCAGGATTCAGTCACTGACTGGAAGAAAAAAAACATTTCATTCAATTTGTTTCATTTGTAATGAAGATAACAAACAATTTCAGATAAATGTTTTTTTTAATCTACACAACATTTCAGCTTATGCCTTTTTCATAGGTCTATGAACGTCCCACGCTACAAATCAGTTTTGTAACCTGTGACTTCATGGACCTTTGGAAAAAGCATAAGCTGAAACATAGGGTAGAATTTAAAAAAGTTTATCTGAAAATAGTTTGTTGTCTTCATTGCAAATGGTTTCTATACTTCAGTCAGCACTAAAAATATAAAAAAATAATAAAAAATGCAATTTGTTTCAGTTGTTTTAACCAAAGACCAAAACAGTTATCTCATTTTTTCTGTTTTGTTCTTTGAGTATCGAAAATTACCGTTTTATTGTGATTGATGGCAACTCAATTTTATCTGTGAGTCAGAAAATGGCAACTGAGCTGCTCCTGCCGCAATTAATGGGTTAATAATTGACTGAAAAAAACTATTTTTGCAACTTATTCATATCAAAATTAGCAAAGAATTAAATTAAATGTGATTTCAGTGTTTGTGCAAATTATTTTGATCAAACTGCAAAACATAAAATACCATTCATTCGCATAGAGTTATAGTTATATATGTGCAACTGACAGATATTTCCGTCATTCGCAGTTGAGCCATAGAACTTCAATGACGGAAATATTCGTCATCCACAGTTAATGGGTTAAATCCTGAGATTGCACGTACCATATGTACACATTTTACTATACCTACAGCAACCTTTAAATCATTCACTACAACAAAAACAATTTGCAAGTCTTTCACTAAACCTCTAGTAATAAAAATCTTCCACTACCACTATGGCAATTGGTAAATTTTCTCTTCACCTAAATCATTATTCAAACAATGATGCCAATAATTACATAATCTATCATTTGTCCATTTGTCAAGACCACTCAATTAATGCTAAAGTAAAACAATTTAGATAAATAAAAAAGAAAATAAGGACCTACAGGGAATATGGAAAAGTAATCTTCAAAAAACATTATGCTGAAGATCATACTTTACATAAATAATGATAATGGTAATGAGCAGCTCAAAACAATTGATGTTGATAATTCTACAAAACAGATATTATTAAAAATTTTACAGTAAATTATATATATAGCAGAAGAATAAGTTGCTCCAATTGTGGTCAAACCACATGATTACCAGTGTTTTGAATATTTCTGTAGAAATTTGAGCATTGAAAAATATGAAGGAATAAGCTACAAAAGCTTGTGGAAAACTGTCCAAGATCAGCAAACACACAGAATGAGCTGCTCATCATATTTGTGACAGTCAACTAAACCTTGAAATATATCCACTAAAACATTAATATTAAATGAAAACATACCACAAATAGCACTCAGCCATTGGAACAAGATCAAATGAAACAGTACCACAAAAAGTCCTACATACAACAGGATTAAATTAAATCATACCATATACAGTCCTCAGGCACAGAAAATAAGGAATTAAATGAAATTATTATAACACATAGTTTTGCATACATTTGAGCATACTGAATATGTTCTCAAAAAAAAAACATCACAAGATTGTGAAAAAGGTCCACTGTCTGCAGAAGTGTCATAGACACACATACCCCAAGCTTTTTAATAGTCTGTCATCTTCTCAGGTAAGTCCAAATTATATCAATTCAGCTTGAATATGTGCTTATAGGGTTTGGAGTAAGCACAGAGAAGACAAGATCATGGCATTGCGGCAATGCTTTGTATGGTGAAAAAACTGAGCTTGTCTTTATTCTAGAGTATCTAAATGCAACTAATATATATATTTTGCATTTTTTTACCATTCACAATATTCTATAGGAAGACAGTGAACTTTGTCAATGAATGAAGAGAATCACAACCAGGAAGTGTCCTGCAGTTACTGCCTTGAACACCATAAGCCACATAGAATATATATGGGAATATCTTAGTAGGGGTTTAAAACCATACAAACAGCACCTAAAGGAAAACCTGCATCTGTGTGATACTCTATATCGAGACTAGATAGCAAATTGGTGATTTCATGCCTTGGCATTTACAAACACTACATGACTGTAACATATATATAACAGGTATTGGTAATGTGCAAACCACATTATTATGGCAGGGATCAACACATACATGCATATGTACATGATCTGAAAATAAGATATTAATATTAACAAAGATCTATATTTTGAATTTTTTGTTGTTATAGCTGAATTCTGAATAATAACTTTATATTAAACATACACAATAAAGCCATTTTAATATCAAATCAAGCTGTAATATTATAGTTTTAAATACTTTTGCATTCTAATACAATTTACAAGTTATGCATGCAACTTGCTTTCTTTAGGCCTAGAGAAAAATGCTTTGTTTCCTATTACATTCTGACAAAAATAGGGTAGGTTGGTAGGTAGGTATACATTTCTATTTTTTTTCACATTTTTCTGAATAATAACTTTATATTAAACATACACAATAAAGCCATTTTAATATCAAATCAAGCTGTAATATTCTTGTTTTAAGTACTTTTACATTCTAATACAACTTACAAGTAAAATATACAACTTGCTTTCTTTAGGCCTAGAAAAAAATGCTTTGTATCCTATTACATTCTGACAAAAATAGGGTACGTAGACATTTCTATTCATCAAATTTTTTTTATGTTCTTGAAAATAGGGTAGGTAGGTAGACATTTCTTTTTTTTTTACATTTCCTTTACATCCTTCAAAATAGTGTAGGTAGGCGGAGTATTGGGCTGATTGGATTTTGTCACTGTATCCTTTGCTCTACTGGTACTTTAAACTTCTTTCCTTTACATCCTTCAAAATAGTGTAGGTAGGTGTAGTATTGGGCTGATTGGATTTTGTCACTGTATCCTTTGCTCTACTGGTACTTTAAACTTCTTCAGAGCATTTTGGTTTAGGCCCTCATTGAAATTCAATTGATTTGACACAGAATGTATCTTTGTTTGTTTTTAATTATGCACAAAGCTACACAAGGGCTATCTGTGCTCTGCCCACCACGGGTATAGAAACCCGGTTTCTGGCGTTGTAAGTCCACAGACATACCGCTGTGCCACTGGGGGGCATAGAATGTATCTACTAATTGGTCTATCCAAATTTCCACTGAAACTTTGCCCAGGTCAACATGTATTGATGTCATAATCATTCAAATCTAGTTTAGGATGGTATGACTCAAACACGCCTTTGAGTGTTCCAGTAAAGTGTGACACTGTTGTTGTTTTTTGAGAAACATGTGGGTATTTGTTCAAGAACCACCATGATGAAATGTTTGACACTGCCTGAATGGAAGCTCAGCTATAATTGGCTGACAGTGTTGACACACCACACCAACTAACGAATCAGAGACATGGTTTCTTATGACCTTCACCTTGCACAATATGGTAAAAGACAGGGGCAATAGTTTAATGAAAATAAAAAAAATTAATCGATGGGTGTTTTTCATTAGGGTCGGTTGGGAGATGAATTTGGGGTGGGAGCATTGAAAAAACTTTAGGGTCAGCCATTTTTACATAGGGTAACCAGGAACAAAGCATTTTTTCTAGGCCTTATATTTCTATTATGAAATGAAAATCATCATACTCTTTCTCATCTTCTCCCCAGTGTGTTTGAAACATGGAACGAAAATGTTCACATCTACAAGAAAAAACCATCAAAATAAAGGTAAACACATGAAATATATCAGAAAAATAAACAAAATCATAAAATGGCAACTGGCAACAAGAGCTAAAAACCCCGAACTGATAAAATTAATACATTTATAAACAAGCAATAGCAATACAAAATTTTTTCTTCTGACCAACATGACATTGCACACAATAAACAAATTAATAATTGGCAAACTGTTTGATATTTCTTACCTCCCATACATTGTTTCTGACAGGAATTATACTTTCAGTCATTTGAGGAAGAATTAGAAATTTGTGAACATGTCAAACTAACTTTTTATAAACCTGTATTAAGCATTACATACTAGCATCCAGTTACAGAAATTATGAGCAAAGAATTGGACAGTAGAAACAGAGAATAATGGCTAACCTTAAACACATGGAAAGTTTACATTTAACATACAAAAGTTAAATATACTTGAAGTAAAAAACATAGTTACTTTATGAAAATTCTATCTTATTTTAAGAGTTAATTGCCTTGGCAGCAACCCACTCATATTAGTTCCAAATTATAAAAACACATGGAAGCAATTTGACTGAATTTAACTGTTTAAGGTACTCTAGGCTTCATTATAAAGATAACAATCAATTGCCACTCTTTAATACACATCTTTTGTATATTTTGGTATAAATTTTTTGTATGTTTCTTAGGATCTTTTTTTTTTGTAACACTGCCTGGTCTAGAACAATTCTGACAACTTTATTAACAAACTTACATCATTAATGTGTAACTCCTGTAACCTGAACTTTTCATTTTGGATATTTTCACACAAATCTCACCTCACAATTTACATATTTAAGCTAGATAATATTTATCATTATTAAACACTTCTAACTAATAAAAGAACATTATAATTAGTTTTCTAATTTCCAACCATGATACTTAAAAATAATATTAGGAATAACCAGTTTCTCCACCTAAATGCAAAAATTTACACTCATGTATAATTAAACTACTGGTTCACTTTTGGAGAACTTAAAACTAATGTAACAAAATAAAGATATTGTTGTGCTGAATAAATTAAACTTAAATCCATAGACTTACATGATATATATGTACAAAACAGTCAATTTATCATTATTATTTTATTACAAGTTACAGCTTTTACAATAAGGTAGAATATTTTAAAAACAGGTACAACATTTCAACTACTGGTATGATCATTCTCAAGTACAAAAGTTTTAACAGTAAAAAACTTGTGTATTTGAGCTGTAACTTGTAATAAAATAATACTTATAATCAGAATGTAATCTCAGAATGAAACTATTAAGTCAACTTATCAGTTTATAGTTTCTTTGTTGTTCAAAAAAGCTTTCAAGTAATAAAAGACCTTAGTATAATGATCTATAAAAAATTCCAAAATGAACATGGAATTGAAAGTCATTGCCTATTAAAAAATGACCAAAAAATATATAATTCAGGCTATTAATGAGCTCTTCACATTTATGCAATAATAAAATTTAGCATATTTATAAAATTCAGCTAACTATATGTGTGTGTGCATTTCATTTCTACCTGTATAATTCATGTAGTTTAAACAAGTATAATTCAGTTTTATACAAGTATGTATTAGCTCAACTCTACACACATTTATAGTTTAACCTCATACATTTATTTTTCTACTCTCTACTTCCCCAATACTAAAATGTTAAATTATTGCAATTCTACTTAGTTAAATATCCCCAGGCAATTTTTTGCAAGATAGAACAAATCCAAGCACTAAAAAGACAAATTAAAAAATATCCAATTGAAGTATTTTCAAAGCAAAAAGTTTGTGGATGTTTTTGCATGAGAGCTATGGCTAAGATGATTAGGTAACTTCCTTTACAATACTACTTACCTTATTTTTAGAATGGCCTTGTGAACATGCACAACTTTTCCTTCTATAGAAAACTTCAAATCACTCATACTCTGTAAAAATTCACACATTATGTGTAAACACTTTCTCATGAAATCATCTCTACAAACATTAACTAGGGCAATATTTATCAAATTACAACTTCTTAAAATTATAACTATGATTAATTAGAGTTAGTTTATTGGTAATAACATGAAGATTATTTTGAATTTGCACTTAACATGAAAGAACTTCTATTCCATATTTTTGCTGCTATTTTTTCCATTGCACTACATAGGACTAAATATACATAGAAGATACAAAGTTCTGATAAGTGATCTCTGTTACAACCTAAGTTCATCATGTGTATATTCTCACTATAAAGGTGATATTACTTCAAAGTGTGATCCAAATCTGCATCAAAAGACAGATGTTGTGAAAATTTAGCACAGAATCATATCATTCTACATTAGGATAAACAAAACATTGTTTTGGTTAAATTCTAAAGGCAATCTGAAACTACTGATATACTTACAGGATCATCAAATGCTTGTTGAAGGCTATCTCCTACTGTATTCACCATACAAACATCTGATGAGAAAGTGAAAAGATCAAATGGCACACATATGCATGCATAATATTCTAAAAAAAGTGATAAATTAGTAAGAGAATAAATTTAAATATTCTGATTCACGAATAGCAGGTGGCAATATGTTTAATTCTTACATTTTTTCTAGATAAAGTTTTAGAAATAACAGATCATATTAAAATTTCAGGAAATTTGTTGTGATGACAACTACATTCAAACACACACATAACACTACACATGTATTTTATGGCATATACAAAAAAAGTTAAGTAAAAAATCATTCATTTCTGGAGGAGACAATCTCCAAATACTTCACTCCACAAGAATAACAATTTCAATTCAATACACTATGGGAACCAAAACATCAAAAGATTCAATGACATAAGTAGCAGGTTTTTTAGTTGTTTTACTGATATGAAAAAAAAAAATGTTTTGACCAACAGTAGCAAGTCATCTCCAGACAAATTTTTCCAACTAAGAGCTTTTATATCATTTAATTACTTCTATTATTTTATTACTCAATCAACATCAAAAGCATTAATTACTAAAAATAATAAGAAATGCCTTCTTCAAATCAAAACAACAGAAAAGTGCCTTTATGGGGTTCATGGAAGTAGAACATTCAATGTAACTTCTTTAAGTTTTCATGGTCTTTAAATGCTCTAATGAATTACAAATTTATTCCAGTACATTCATAAACAATTAAAACCTTTGAGATCTACAGAATACAAAGGATCATTTATAGATTATGGAAAAGCATGTAAATTATCTACCATTTCCCTAATGTTGGATAGTTTCAGAACTATGGCAACATGACAGACAGGCATGATACACATAAGAGGATGCATTAACTGAGTATATATTGCTTTGAAAAGTTGACTGGTAGAATATGTGACTGCTCTTTCCAAAGAAATATGTACATGAAAAGATCAAGTAAGTATTTAAGTGTAAACCATTGTGCAAATACTTAAGGGTTAGTCATTGTTTCAAAAAATGTAAGTAACTTTTAGTACAAGTACCATTAGGGTAGTTTAACTTTAGTTTTTAAAATACTATATACATAATGAGGGATATAAACTGGAACATAAAAACTGCTGAAAGATAAATAAAACAACGTATGCAGATGACATATATTTTAAATGCATTGTATTACTTACTCAGTGGTACTTGTTTATCTTAGTTGCTTATAAAACAAAGGCTTCACAGATATAAAATATTCTTAAATATACATCCTTTTACATATGTACTTATAGAAGTTGAGGTGATAAGCAAGAAAATTAATTACATCATAGTAGCCATGTATTCAAAAATAATAAAAAAATCTGATGTACACTAATGATGACAATCAAAACATTTCCCAGTGCCTTATCTAATATGAATATACTGAAATTTACAATAAAACCAAACTGAGAGTAAACATTTTAACATTATCTGTTCATAATAAACATCCACAATTAATTCTCTGTAATATCGGACCTAATATGCAGAGTAATTCTCATTGAGACTGGATTAACAGCAGGTGAATAGTGGAAAATGACCAGATACTATTATATCAGATACAAAGCTGTTATTAAAACTAACTTTCATGAAAACAGTTTTGGTCAACAGTTAGGTACCAGGAAACCCAACCCAGGAGTTCAGTTGATTAAAGTATATGAATATACATTTGTACTATAATAAATTCAACCCCAAAAAAAGAGACACAAGTCATTTAATATGTAAACAATCACTTGAAATTAAATAATGATACAAATGATGACAAAATTTTGCAAAAAAAAAAGCTATAAAACTTAATGCTAAAAAAACTGTATTGTAGTAGATCCTGTACATAAGACAACAAAAAGTGTGTGACTATTAAAATACTAAAATATCCATACAATTTAATAAATGACAAATAACACTTCCATATTCTTGAATAGTGAACTTTCAACTGGATATTTTTGGGACTGATCCTTGACTTACAGAGATACTGAGAAATGAAACTTCATATAGTTAAATTTTAACAAACTCCCTTGTATAAAAGCTCCTTTTTTTCTGGGTATTACAAACATTTAATACAGCCATAATTCTTAATTTGTACACCATCTTCAAGTTTGATCAAGTTATATATTATGAAATATAAAACAGTAGAATATCTGAACTCATATGACATGATTTGAAAGTTAAAATTTTCCTTAATTGAACATGTATTTCCGAAACAGTACTACCTCATCTCCCCCATAGCTAGAATCCCACATTGGGAAGGTGGAGGGGGCAGTGAAGGTACAAAAACAATTAATCAAGTGGAGAGTGATCACTATGAAAAAAGCAGGTATGCCACTATTAGAATACAAGGCACACCTGTGGGGTATAGCACTACTTCTGGAAAAGGTATTCTCTTCACCCAGTAAAGAAGATAAGACACATAGGGTGGAAATGAAGAGAATATGTGGCTAGAACTAGAGGACTGTATATGAATAGGCCAAGTGCAGTCCAAGGACAAAAACAACATGAAAGCATCTTGCAAAAGTTTGTAAAATTAACAAGTGCAGTCTTCCCGGGTATCCAGGGGAAGTTTCTTGGATTTAGAACAAGATAGCCAAGTGAGGTCCACCCAGGCAAAAACATCCAGGGGTAGCCCCTTGGTATACATTGGATTATATCAAGTGCGATCTATCTGAGAAAAAACATCCAGAAGAAGCACCTTGAATAAGAGATTTCATGCCATGAAATATGTGTAATATGCAGCGTAACGATGATAGCTCTCTTGTACATATGAGTACATATGGCTATGAGATTTTGTTATTGTACAAAACCCACTTGTGAGGAAACCTCCACGGTCCACCACTCCAGCGACTGGGAACCAGAAGTGGCAAGGACCCCCATTGCTCTACTTGAAGAAAGAGGAGTGGGAAGACGCATTGTGGGTCTGGAGGAACAACCTACCGGAGACAGTGCAATGGGTGCTTGCGTTTCCCTATTTTGAAAAGTAGAAAGACCTGGATTGATAGAATCATGGACCAGTAGGGATAGGCAAAATTCCCTATCTCATGAAGTCCATGAGTGATGGTCCTCAGGAGATATATATATATATAGATACACCTATAGAAAAGTATCCGGTGGTCTTACAGAAACACCCCATGTCCACAGTGAGCATAGAAAAAAGTGGAGTAAGTGCTGGTATAAAACGATTCAGTATACCTGACCAGGCAATACCCACCACCAGTTGGGACCCAAAAAGGCAAAGGAAAACAATTGTTTCTGAAATGATAAAACAAAAGGATGTATAAGTGAAACCAAAATTTCAACTCACCCCAGTTAAAGGTGAACAGACACAGAATCATCACAGAACATACCTGACCAAGGAGGATACAGCAATATTGTGCAAATAATGTGTGACAAACATATTGGGAGTTGTCCACATTCCTGCTTCTATAATCTCCTCCAAAGGACAGCAGATCCGAGTAGCTAAAGACAAAGTAACATGGCGTATCTGGTGTGAAGACACATTAAACAGCTGACAATCTTCCACTGACAAGTCAGAATAAGCTAGACAGATGAATTGCCAAACCCATCCAGTAAGGGTAACAGGAGAAAGATGACGAGAAACAGAAGGATTCCAGTGTATAAAAAGGTGAAAACGGGAACACCAAAAGGTTTCAGTTTGAGACATATAACAACAAAGGGAATGGACAGGACAAAGAAGACAATTGGGATCAAAATGGGAGCATAAATTGGAAATAGAAGTAAGGGAAAGAGAAGTCAAAACAACCCTCACAAGCAACAGATGTCGTGGGAAGGAAAGAACGGTTGAGATAAAGGAGAACATAAGCAGCATCGTAAAGGGTGTGGGAAACATTAAGAGCATAAATATCAGAATGACCATGACAACTAGTAAGAAAGAGAAGGAAATAGATTTTAAAGGAAAGGTGGTACAAAGAACACGTAGCCACAGTTTCAAAATGAGAACAGGCCTAGGGCACGAAGAACAACACTGAGATCCCAATTTGGAAGCCTAAATGGACAGGGCAGATGAACAGAAAATAATAGAAATAACAGGGCCGGAGAAGAATCTATGAAAACAGGAGAAGCAAAAAGTGAAGGACAGAGCAGCATGATAACAAGAAACAGTAGACAGACAAATCTTCATCAAATAACCAGGTAAGAAACCTGGACAAGTGAGAAACTGAAGATCAGAATCCCCGGCAATTGGACCACTGCTGAAAGATAGACCAACGACACTGATACACAGACAATGAGGAAGGATGTATGGACTGGGTAAGCAAAGAAGCTACATGGGTAGTGAGTTCCTGAGAGAAGGCAATGTGCCAGATAAAATACGTCTGATTGAGGTTGCCAGAGTGGAGATCTGGACAGAGATAATGGAAGGGTTGCTGCTCCAGTAAGGGCCAAAGTAAAGGAAACTATGACTGACTGGGCCAATACAGAGAAACTAGCAACACACAGCAAGGAGTGGTCTGTACAAGAGAAAGAACCCTGGAGAGGAGTCTGATCGGAGGGTAAGCATAGAGATGAAGGCCCTCTTCAATCCTGATTGAATGCATCTACCCCCAGAGCTGAGAGGTGCGGGACAGAAGACCAGAAAGAAGGAAGTTTGGCATTCCACTGGATTGCAAATGCATCAATATGAGACATACTGAGGCAAGAACACAGCCACCAAAAAACCCCCAGATGAAGGGACCACTCCATAGGAAGAAGTTGGTTGGGGCAGGACAGATGGTCTGCAACCAGATTCATAACACCCAGAACATGACATACCATAAGTGTGATGATATAGCTGTGAGCCCAGTAAAAGAGGTCAAGAGTGAGAAAACACAGGGAACTGAACTTGGAACCCCCTTGTTATAACTGACAACAGTTAAATTGTTTGGAATGAACCATTAACATCTGCTCTTGTAAGAGTGGGAGAAAATGTGTAAGAGTCCAACATACCACTAACAGCTCCAAGTGGTTGATATGATAAGTAGATTCATCAATGTATCACTGACCCAAAATCTCCAGA